GATGAGCATGAAGTGCTAATTCAATTCAATTCAAAGGGGTAGATAAGTGAAAGCAGTGGCAGCTTTGTAGCTACAAGCCTTGTCTTTTGCATTGACATTTGCACCATGTTTAACCAGAACTTCAGCTATCTCCAAGTGGCCTTTGCTTGCAGCATAGTGTAGAGCAGTGCGACCGCCATTATTTTTTAAATTCACGTCAGCTCCTGTTCAAAAGAGTATTTCAGTTTGCATGTCAAAAAGCAGATCACGAAGAACATGCCACCCCATCCACACATGCATGCTTTGACTACCGATACTCTAATAGTACGTAGTATTACTTAAGTCGTGAACTAATATCTTGTTTTGATCCCTCAATAGACAGTAAACATGTTCCTAAATAATACAAAGTGACTTATGTAAACACGTAGTATTTCTACTTCGAGCATAAAACAAGACCCAATATTACTCCATTTAGTATAAAATCAAGAGTTTGTTCGTCTTTTGGGAACGGAGGTAGTATTGTGTATGCACTTCTTTCATTGTTCCACTATATTCTTGTATCTTCTCTACATATTGAAAAATGGAGGTAATGAGTTTTATGTTCCTAGTTCTTGTTCTTGAGTAATACTCCGCATAACATCTGAACATCAATAGCAAGACATTTGTCTTCTTTTTGGGAGAAAAGAAGAAGAAGAAGAAAGGATGATTGAATTCATAAAAAATGATTCTTCTTCAAACCTCTGCTGAGCAAAATCTCCAGAATTTCTGCATTCCCACTACTTGCAGCAGAGTGCAGAGGCACCCAACCTTCTTCATCTCCACAGTTTATGCCATTGATTGAAGAGTCAGCAGCAGACAATAAATTCACAACCTGATGACTACACTGAATTAGGGTTTCAGCGGCCTAAATTTTTTCATTTCATAGAGGTGTATCGGTGTGTTTAGGTGAACATTAACGCCAATTCTGGTACAGACGGAGCACATATGAAGGAAAAAAGAGGAGATTGAGAAGGGAACCTCGGCGTGGCCGTAAGATACGGCGACGTGAAGAAGAGAGCGAACATCTTCGTTGCGGAGGGCGAGGGCTTTGCGAAGCTGGTCTTCTGAGAGGAATTTGAAAAGCTCGGAATCGCCGGATTCAGCGGCCTTGAAGAGGTCTTCTTCTTTGATTTGAGGCGGCTTCGCTGAATCTATTTCCATAGCCATGGAAGCCGGTTACAGGGTGCAGGGAAAGGTTGATTTTTGGTAGACTGGTGGAGTAGAGTCCCGCCCGAATCGGATGGTCGCGGGTTCGGGTAGTTGGTCCAAACCTCTTTCCCAAGACATTCCTCGGCTCAATTTGGTATGGGGCCGTGACGAAATTCACCCAATTTTTCTGGTTTTGACTTATAAAAAATTTAAAAGAAATATGCATTGGTGCTGATTATCTAAAAATGTCCTTGAATGTAATATGTAGATTAATAGTGAATAGATGTAATGCGATAAGTAAATTAAGAATTAATAGAATAAAAGTGAAATGACTTTTTAATTGAAATGAGAATTTTTTTAAATGAATGAAAAAAGAAATGAGAACGATTTTGTTAGACAGAGAGTAGAATACATGCCTATATGGGCGTGTTTTTAGTAATTTTATTTTTGATTAATTTAAAAGTTATATAAAATTTTATAAAAAGTACTCGTAATATGTAAAAATAATTTAAAAATGGGGACGGAATGATGGTCTATAATACACCCCTTGATTGGAGATGAAATGATGATGAAAAACTGATGTGACGCTAAGTTGAGAGATTGGATGATGGGAACCGTACCATTTAGCCTTACAATGGTCAATGGTGGAAGTGGATGAGTTGTTGAATTCCTTCCGGCCAGCAAGTCCAAACCCATATTAGCAGATGTCCAAGCGATCCAATAAATCTCAGAGTGTTGTGAGTCACAAGTTATGCTAGAGAGGCTTATTAATTCGAACATAGTTAGATATATGTTTGGAACAGATATATGCGTAGAGAGACTTAGCAACAGATCTATGTCGTCTAGAGTGAAAAACCAGATCTAACAATTTAATGGGTCAGAAGGAAAATCCTTAGTAAAATACGATTGAAGAAGATGAGCAGAGGCAGGTTCGTTAAAAAAAAATTGACAACGGCAGTAAATACTGAAGCTAATACACATTGTAGTGAGAATTATTAACCAATTTTTGCACAAACACAATAAAAATGACAAATAGTTAATAATATTTTCCCAAACATTCAAATAGTTCTAAATGACACAATTAAATGATATTGTTATATATTTAATTATATAAAAATATTAAAAATTACTATACTATACCGATTATTATTTTTTAAAAAAATAATCATTGATGTCATTTCACCCCACTAGACCCCCCTGGTATCTCCATGACTAGGCGGATGAGAAGCGTGGGCAAGTAGACATGGGTGGACGGGGCGGGTGAGTGTGGACGAGGGTGGAAGAAAAGAAAATAATGAGAAAGAAAATGGTGAGAAAGTATAAAGAAAGATTATTGTTTAGATGATAGGAAAATGATAAGAAAATGACGAGAAAGAAGAAGAAAATGATAAATTGTATTGAAATGCATGTTTTCTCATCTCACTTAGGGGCTGTTTGACAACTTCTGAATAGATAAGTGCTGAACCAGTAAGAGGTCTGAACCATTAAAAGCTAGTATATTGCTTAACTATTCAGAGGCAAATGTCTGATCAATTCCGATAAGAGGTCTTAACCATTCAGACTCTGTATAATACTTAACCATTCAGAGGCAAATATCTGAGACATTCAGACATCTGAACCATTAAAAGGCTGAAACAAACAATCTGAACCATTAAGTGCTGAACCATTAAGAGGCTGAAACTAGGGGTGAGCATGGTACGGTATGGTACGGTATTTAGCCCGTACCGATACCGTACCAAATATTTCGGTTCGGTATGGNGTTCGGTATCGGTTTCGGTACAAATCGGGATGAATATACATACCTACTTTACACCTTAAAGTTTAACAATGTCCCCTTATTTTTGAAAATTAAAAGTGAATTTAAATAAAAAAACGTGAAAAATTAAAAAAAATGAATATTTAAATGCAAGGGATGCATATCAAAACATAGTTTATATTTCACAAACTAAAAAAATGAACGACAACAAAGGGTTTTTCGAATCTTTGTGAATACTTTTATGTTTATACACAAAAACTAAAACTCAAATAAAAGTATAACTTACACATGATAAAACTTGAACCAATATTTTTTAAAAAATTACTCCGTATTATTTAGTGAAGGAATATGAAAAATATTACTCCGGGTTATTATTTTTTATAATATTTTAGTATATATGTTCGGTTCGGGATTTTCGGTATGGTACGTCACTTCGTACCGTTCCCAAATACCGTACCAACCATTCGGTTCGGTACGGTTCGGTTTCTTCTCGGTACTTTTTCGGTTCGGTATTTTTCGGTTCGGTATTCTCGGTATTTTCGGGAAATTTCGGTATCGGTTCGGTACTTGCTCACCCCTAGCTGAAACAAACAGCCCCTTACTCTTTCTCACCTTTTTCTTACAAACCAAACAATGAGGCAGTGTATTTGGGGCTGAGATAGGGGCGAGGTGAGGAGAAAATGAAATTTTTCTTTCCAAAGCAAACGGAAACTAAATTTCCCCAATTGGAGAACAATATCGCCATATTTCTTGAATTTTTTTCTACTAATTTTATCAAACATAAAAAGATACTACCTCCGTTCTTAAAAGATTGTTACAGTTTTAATTTTTTAAGCGTGAATTATGAAAAAAGTATATTTAGTTACAATATAAAATAAATAAAATTTGATTTATTTTAAAATATAGATTTAAAATATAAATTTTTATAATATGTAATCATTTTAAACTATATTGAGTTCATAGTCAAAGAATGCTTGAGTTTGACAAAAAAATCAAAGTGTGACCATTTGTTAGAGACGAGATATATTTAAAAAAATTCTGTAAATTTTTCATCTCCAACTAGGGGTGGGTTCGGTTTTCACCCAAAACCAAAGACAAAACGGAAGGTAAATTGGCGGTTCGGTTTGGTTCGGTTTTGCATAAAAAATATGTACACCATTGGTTATTCGGTTCGGTTTTATACGGTTTTTATTTCGGTTTTTTTCGGTTTTTTCGGTTTATAAAAGTAGAAATTTATAAGCATTAAAAAATAGTAAAAACACTAACTCGATGAAACAATAACAATATGTACTGTTAGCTTTGGTTTTTTTGTTTGATTTTTACACAAAAACAAAACCAAACGGAAGGTCATTGTTCCTTTCGGTTCAATTTTACATAAAAAATATGTGTTGAGTGCCCAACAAACATTTAGAAGATTCCAAATACTTCCAAAGAAATCGTATATAAAATCAATTACGAAAAATTTAGGTTTTTTGGTATAATACTTTCATTTTCATTATAACATCAAAGTATTTGTTATGTAAATATGTAAATTACTCGTATCAATTTTTAATGTTAATATAATTCTGTTTTAGGATAAGCTATTGGTGTTTATATTCTTAGGTTTTTTCAAAGTTTATAATAATATGACTTGAATGTTTAACTAATAGTTAAGAAAATAATTTTAATCGACTAGTAATTTATTTGCGTTTATATTTCTATAATTTTTTTACATATCACATATATTCATATAAATAAAGCGAATTATTTAAGAAAGTTCGGTTTATTCGGTTCGGTTCGGTTTTTAAAAGTAAAAACTAAAACAGAACCAAACACTAACAGTTCGGTTCGGTTTTTTTACATTTGGTTTCGATTTTTTCGGTTCAGTTTTTTTTCTAGCTCGTTTCGATCGATTTCGGTTCGGTTTTCGGTTTTCCCAACCCAGCCCTATCTCCAACCAAAGAGTCATTTTTTTCCCCCATTTTTTTCAACGCGTTAGCGGGGTTGCCGGTTGCGTGTGGGTTCCAGCCAGCCACCCACGCTTTGCACACAACGGAAAATCTCATCCTATAAATTACAGTAAAAAATGAGTGGTTCCCAAGCGACGACGTCTCCAATCATTTCAATATTCAGAGAAGAAGAAGAAGGAAGAAAACCCATCCTGTTTGTGAAATAACATCCATGGATCCGCGAACCCACAACCAGTCTAGTGGCGATGCCAAGGCCGGCGACCACCCGGCGCCGTCTAGGTCCGAGTTATTGTCCAGCGCGAAGCTTGTAGCGGACGCCGCCAGAGCCAAGTTTAGCCACGAGCAGAGCAAGGCGGACAAGGCGGAGCTCTCTGCTGCCGCGGCGGATCTCCTCAACGCGGCGTCCCATTACGGGAAGCTGGAGGAGAAGTCATATGGGAAATACGTTGAGAAAGCCGAGAACTATCTCCACAAATACAGCACCTCCCATTCCCCCACCGCCGCCGCGGCAGCATCGGACCACCATTCTGCCTCCGCCCAGCAAGGCCATTCTTCCGGGAATTCCGGTGGTGGATACGGCGAGTATATGAAGATGGCCGAAGGGGTCTTCAAGAAACATTCAGCTCATGATTCCACCACCCCGGAAGCGCCGGACCACCATTCCTCCGCTGCCGGAGGAGCTCATTCATCCGGGCACTCCGGCGGAGGAGGCGGCGGGTACGGAGAGTATATAAAGATGGCCGAGGGCATCTTCAATAAACATTCAGCTACGGATTCCACCACCACCACCACAAGCCATTCTGAAAATAAATACGGAGAATATGCTAAGATGGCCGGAGATTTCTTGAAGAAACATTGATTTGGTACTCATTTCACCTTCTTGTATTACTATAATTAAGGTGTCAAGAGGATAGATGTGTTTATAAGTTCTTTGGGCATAATTTCTCTTTAATGTTGTCATAAATTACATTAGAAACCTTGTAAGGGTGTAATAAGCCTCACGGAGCATTTCCTAATTTATTGTGATGTCTAGAATGTGATCTATGTCTTTTTTTAGTTAATAAAAATTCTACAAAAGATTGTTCTTTCTTGAACAAATTCAATGTGTTAAGGTTTGTAGCTTCATCATCAAACTTCAACTTTACAGTTCAATGGAGATGGTAGATTTCAATCCACAACCCGATCACATGTTAAATATGAGAGAGATGAAACTATTTCTATGTTCATTATATCCAATTTGTGCAGTTGCTCTCTTGGAAAGTTTAATTCAAGTTGTGTGATTTTTTCAAGCCTTTACACACAAAATAAGTAAATAGTAATGCACCATACATTTTCACTTTCATGTCTGTTTTCCACAGAAACTTTTTGTGATTTCATACACTCTTCCAATGTTGTTCCTATGGTTTAAACTTGAAAGAATGTTTGGCATGGTTTAGAAGCACCAGAATGTTGATGGGGCTTTGCCAGTTCTTCTGTACTTGTCTGCCTTGTCTTTCACCTTACGTTCTTCGTTCTCTTTTTTCTTCTTTGCCCAATCTTTTGCTTTTTTCGAGGCGTCTTCAATCTCTCGGATCCTTTTGTTGTGATCTGTCTTAGCCTTTGCCTTTCTTGCCTCCAATTTCTTCTGTAGTTTTTGGTTAGCATGTTCTTTAGCGACTAGAAATCCCACACATCTGGTTTTTGATTAAACACCGGGAAAAAAGGGGTAAAGAAAAAAAACCTCTATTTTCTCTAAATTGTCATTTGATTTCTTCTTCTTCTTATGCTCCCATGTGTAAGTTGTTGAAATCACTTCATTGTACCTGAAACCTCCCTTCTTAGTGAAACATAGGCACACCACGTACTCCGTTCAAAGTCAAATGAATGAGAACATGATGTATGTTCATATTCATTGAACTTCTTGATGTATCACAGAAGTTATATTGACCAGTTAAATGTGAATGGAAGGAGTAAGTCATAACACGACGTTTTCAAAAATATATCAAGCATTGGTTGAAGCTTCAACAACAATTCACAATGAAAATAAACAGGTACCTTTCTTTAATCTTTTTCATCTCTTCCTGTTCCCAAATGTCTGCTTTGGTCTCCCCACCCACAGTTGTTCTTGGGATTGTGGTAGTTTGTCGCAACGAAGGTTGTCTATTTGGGGGTATTGCTGGGGCTGAGGCTTGTATTTCTGGTGCTGGTTTTATACTTGGGGTACGACCGGACATCTGATCGGCTAAATTGAGGTTCCTTTGTATGGATTTGGCGATCTCTCCTGGCTCTAAATCTTTTCCAGGAGCCGCAGGTTTTATTGTGCTCTTGTTGTTGTTGTTGTTGAGGGTTGCTGACCTTAGTGAATTGGTTTTCTCTTTTCTGATCCCTCCCCTCCCCTCATCATCTCTACTTGGCTCTTGGTTTGATTTGATGGCATATGCAGCCGCGGCCACTGCACTCGCGTAACCAGCATTTTCGTCCTCCTTCGCGCCCCTCATTTCTCTTGTTCTTGTTTGGTATATATCTGCAAAACCCGGATTTGGTTTTCATCTATATGTAAACAAACAAACAAAAAGGGGGAAACAAATTCGGTTTTGATCGTTAATTACCTCGGTTTGTAGATAGAGTGGGGATGATTAGGGCGCCTCTTTGTGATTTGAGACCAGCAATGGTGAATGTGAGAGAGAAGAAAGGGAGTTAAATAAGGGAGAAAGAGAGGGAAGATAAAGGGTATTATGATGGGGGTTGATGATGATAGGATTAGGATTAGGATTAGGATTAGGGTATGGTTTGAAATTGGGGGCAAGTAAAGGCAGAAGCCTTTGGGTGCAAGGCCTGGTTTTGGATCTTGAAGCACCAAAGCAAAAGCAACCTTTTCCCCTCTTCTTTTCTTCTTAAAAATAAACAAATCGAGTATTTCAATAAATAAATATTGTCATATAGATATAGCCTATAGAACTTTTCCATCATCTCCGATGGAGCCAAAATTTTACCATTTTTTGGCTTTGGAGTGTGATGGGATAAATCAAAATGGATCTCTAAACTGTCTGCGCTTCTTTAATTAATGAAGTAGCAGTTAGTCAAGCAATGCAACTTTCGACGTTGAGCCGGGGGTCTCTTTGGAAACAGCCTCTCTACTTTCGAGTAGGGGTAAGGTCTGCAAAACCCGGGGGTCTCTTTGGAAACAACTTAATGTGAATCTTTGGGAAGGTGAGAAAGGTAGAGGTCACATTTGGGTGTTTACATTTTTAATTATTCAAATCCTCAACGAGTAAAGATAAATTATTGCTATTATTGTACCAGCTGGTTGTATATGAAAATTCCTAATTCACATTTGACTTTCAAGGTCAATTTTTAAACTTTGACTACAAATTACAGAAAGCATACATTGGATTGTGATATAAATTTTATATCAATATGTATATTTTTAAACATAATTTTGGAATATCACATTTTTATAATCTTATTTTAAACAAAATTCTTCTTAGAACTCTATGGAACAAGGTAGAATAGTTGTATGTTTCAAAGACGGACAATGATACACCATTTTACTTGACACAAATTATCCAAATAATGTATAAAGAAAGCACTTCTATAGCCGATTACTCAAACAACATAGGAGCAAACATTGATCAAAAACCCAGTACTTTTAACTTTTCCAAACTTTAATAATGGACTGATAAAAATAAATAAAACGTGTTCAAACATTGGGTATACTTAACTTTTCCAATCTTGTGGTATTTCCCACAATGCCACTTATGGTTTCTCCATCACAAGGGGGTAAAAAAATTTATCGAGAATTAGGTCATGCTTTTATCAGAAATTGACGTAAAATTGAAGAAACATAGCCGGTAGAGAAAAGAACTCAGAGAAGGTGCTTACAGATAAGTTAGTTTTGGAATTTGACCGAGGCTGGCTGATATTAAATTACACCCGTCTTTTTATTGTACGAAAGGTGTCTGTGATCCCGCATCAAACTCAAATATGTAATGCATGAATGTGTCGTGTAATGATAATTTAATTCGTGTAACGAGTTATGAAATCATAACACGGGCATATGGCTTTTTCCCCGGATAAACATGTAAATCCGCTTACAGAATAAAAAGGAAGTACATGAAAAAGAATTGAATGGTGGTAAAGCTATGGTCCTTGATTAATCATCACTACCACACCTACACCTTCCCCCAAGGAAGAAAAAAACAGTCTTGGGAGTAGTACTACATTTAAGCAAGGGTGTGGAAGTCCCAAGCATGCACCACCCTCCACCCAAGAGATAGATGGCCTTAATCTCGTTCAAAGCTTTCACTAGCTTTCTCCACTGAGGATTGAACATGTGACCTCCCATTTGGGAGAATCACAACAATGTTTGTGCTTGATTACAGGGTCTATCGGCATAGCGATTTTACCTAGTTCCATCAAAGACGAGGCTTTCCAAATTCGCTCAACGCTCGCTAAGATATATTATCAAAATGTGAGTCGAACGAAGACGCTATGAGAAATTTTGGATACGAGATTTCCCCGACTCACACTCAAAATAATATTTAAAAAAATTTAAACAATGAATTTAAGTAATAAAATATTGTATTAATATTAATATATACTCCGTAAGATATTTTATATAATAATTGTGATGAATACACTGCTAAAGTAATAACCAATGCAATATATATACGGAGTAATCTTTTTGAGTGTACGGTATTGTGCGTTAATATTTTAAGTGAAAGATCAATAAGAACGTGCAATTCACAATAATAAAAAAAATAATTCTTTGATTAAATAACTAGTTAGTATTATTATTATTATTATAGATATTATTATTATTATTAATGGGCCGGTCCGGCTCACTGGCTTGAACATAATGTCGAAATCGGTCCCCCGCTATTGTCGAAATCCTTTTTTTACGTGCGATAAGTGGGCCTGTGAACCGGTCTTTTTCGTAACGGAGGGCTTTTTGTGCGGACTATTGATATTTGATAGGCTATATTAGTTGCGGCTTGTGACCAGAAAAATGAGTAATTAAATTGACCCCCTCACCCCACCCCACCCCACCTGAACCCCTAATTAANCCCCCCACACACACCCAAAAGTTCAACCCTCCTACAGAAAAAAAAATACCGTAAATCTCATTTCACATGGCAAATCTAACATTCTTTTTTTGAGATATAACAATTCTTTTTTCTTTTTGAAAATATTTTTGATGATTTGTGAAAGCAGTTAATATGTTTCGAGTATTTAATACGTACTTCATTTTTCATCCGCAATATAGACCATACGACCGACCATACAGTTTTTCCGGTACATTCGCACTTATTACTTACTTCCTTCGTTCTAAGTTAAACTGACGGTTTACTATTCACACGGTTAAATTTTATTTAATTTTTATATCAATTTGTGTTAGTTACGGAGCATTTGATAAAAAAATATAATCATGTAGAGTTTTTCATGTTGTTTTTAAATATGAAAATTTTATTTTTCAATTCCACCCAATCTCATACGGAGTATAAACTAATTTAAAAATAAATTTATTCCAACACCGTAAATGGAAAGAGACACTTTAAAATAATACAGAGAAAGTATTTACGAGTAATAATTAAACTACTCATTTCGCATATATACATGTCAAGTATTCATACGTGAATGTATGAAATGTGTATCATGTTACTCGCAAGTATACTTCTAAATATGCAAAAAAAATCTATTACTCGAAAATGAGTTAGTATTCGCGCAGTTATATGAAAAATATCGTAGGCCCGAATATAGGGACTCTATTTCATTCAATTACCTTTGAGAGATGGTATGAAACAAGCGTCATGCATGCTAGAAACTCAATAGATCTGAAGATTTGATGCGACACTGAATATTTTACAGAGATAGACAAATAATCGATAATAGTTATCTTTGAGACACAAGTAGTAGTTATTGTTTGTACAAAACACTTATATCAAATTGATTTTGTAAATTTTTTTTTATAAAACAATAGAGTAGATAAATAAATACTAGAAGTGAGTATATGATTATCAAGAGGAGTAAAGACTAATTCATTTCCGTACTTGTTTCCGCTGCCGCCGGGTTGGGTTGACCCGCGAATTGCTCTCCTTTTCCACCTGCCACCCAATCAATACTCAACCAAAAACAACCATGGAAATGCATGTCGTCTTTCTGTAACGCCATATCACATTTTAACTAATAATAATGAAATAATTAACTAATAAAATTAACAGAGAGAAATGACAGTCCGGTCCCTGCTGATCAGTTGTGGAGTGGGTTTGGACCGGAAGGAACCAATCTTTTCTCCGACCCGTATATCGGATCGGTCGTCTTCTCCGGGGGCGGCATGAAGGGCGGGCAGAGGCGGATTCTCTGGAGGTGATAGCAGACAGTCGCCGTCTCGGCGGCGGCGGCGGTGGTTGACGTCAAACTGCTGTGAGAAGGAGAGGGTGGGAATTTATCGGCATGAAGAAGTTGGGTTGGAGACGACGATGTGAACGCGAAGAAGAAGAAGAAGAAGAAGAGGAAGACGACCCAAACGAAGATTTGATAGACGACATTCCTGTTTCTTGAAATTCTTGCGGCGGTGGAGGTTTTCATGGTGGATGTGGGTTTTTCCATTTTTAATTGGATTACAAATGAGAGAAAAAGGGAGTTTATAACTCTATGATGATTTTTCAATTATATATACATACTCCACCATCCCATAATTAAGTCAATAAAATAGATTGGGGTGATGATTGATTAAATTTATTTTTCATTTTATTTTTTTAAATAATGGTTTCAACAATGCAAATTTAATTTTAGAATAAAATTTATATGCACCGTTTTTTAAAAACTACATCAAATACTACGTATTCTATATATAGATTAAAACTAGCGATATATGACTACGTTATTTTAATAAACGATGGAAAAACATCGATTAGAAGAAAAAAAGAAAAAAACTCGTAAGTAATAATACTGTTTTTTATTCTAGATTTGAGACAAAGATATTAAAAAATACTCTCCGTTTCACCGTTTGGGAAAAGTGGAAAACCCTTCCCACTTTGAACAAAGAACAAATTAAAGAAGTGTTAAATTGTAGTTGACTTCTAATTTTGACCTTGATGTGATTAGTAAAAGTAAGATGTGAGGTATAAATTATTAGAAAAAAAACAAGTATAATATGATATGCACGATAAGAAAAAGTAGAGATAAAAGTAAATTTTAATAAAAAGTAAAAGTGTTTTATCTTAGGAAGTGTTTTGGTGAACGGAGAGGGTATCTACCGACTATATATACTCGGTCTAAATATATGCAAACTTACAATCACTTTCATAATAATGAGCCTAATTTGGGTTAGGACTTGTTCCAAATATTATTGAAAAAACCATCCTACCTGTTTATTTTAAAAAGAGATGCGGGTCGAATACTATGAAAATCGGCCTGCCATAACTTATAGGCAAAACTTATAATTTTTCACCATAAAAGTAATCACGGAGTACTAGATAGATGCAGTAATGTTTTACATCTCTCACACTATTTTCACGAGTTGGATTACAAGAGATTAATGAGGCCATTCTGTAGGTTGTAGCAATGCAATATAACCATGTGGAACCTGTGATGCATTGGAACTAGATGATTCAATAGTTCCAAAAATACCTGTGAGTCTGTGACCAAATTAGTACTAGGACAGTTCAATGGCAAGGCTTGAACTCTCAAGGCACATTAAATTGATGTTCCAGAACCAGATAGCAAAAAAGGTCAAACAAGGAAAAGCATTTCAATGGAGAAAATGTAAATGTTCTCGGGAAGAAGACTACTTCGAAACCAGCCCTCTATAACTTGAAATACATTGAGTTCAAGAAGTGAATGAATAAAACACAAGAAAAAACAGCATAGTCTAATTGTAAGTTATAAACTTAAGGGCTAGCAGAAAGACCACTTTTCACATGCCCGTGAACGCCTTCTTTCCACCACTAGCAGAGCCAGCAGGAATCACCTTCAAAACGTTGAACCTCACGGTCTTGGATAATGGCCTGTCGAGGGAACCGCAAAGAATCAGGACATTTGACAAATAGAACAATAGAACCCAGTGTGATAATTGTTCTTATATATTCACCTGCATTGACCAATGATAACGTGGTCTCCCTCCTTTACACGGAAGCAGGGTGAGATGTGAGCAGCAATATTTGAGTGCCGCTTTTCGTACCTGCAACAAGCAATACAAGATAAATGTGCGTGAACAAGTTTGTTAGAAAACCAAAAATGAATACTAAAAACAAGGGCAGTCCTACCTCTGGTATTTCTTCACAAAGTGAAGGTAGTTGCGACGAACAATGATTGTTCTATTCATCTTAGCACTATGGCAAGTGCCAGCAAGGATACGACCTCTGATGGAAACGTTGCCAGTGAAGGGGCATTTCTTATCAATGTATGTACCTAAAATGAAGAGGGAAAAATAGTTAAGAATAAAACCAGTCATGTTTTTTAGATGGAATTACAAATTTTCATTTAAATGTAATAGTTTGGCAAGCCTGATGACTCCTGCACTCTTTGGGTCCTTTACTAATGGTTGCTAGAGACTACTAATGATACTTACGGTTCCCAAAAAAAGATTACGAATTTCCTAGCAAGACATAATAAAAGATAGAGGCAAGTTATTGGGAGGGTATATGACAATAAAAGGTATAAGAAAAATGCATGTTCCAGTAGAGTTTGCTAGAACCAAATCATGGGAACAGCTTATCAAACAGAACTATGACAACAATTTTCTAGAACATAGACATTGCAATCATCAACACAACATTCTCTTACGGAATAACATATGTATAAGTTTATAACAGATTTGTTAAAATATAGAAAAGCATTTGAATAAGCACAAACATCCCATTTCAAAAACATGGAAGAGAGATCCTAGTGAAACCAGCAAATAGCTACTTTGTGCATTTTAGACCGATTTCGTGTGGTACAAGATGTGCTAAATTTGTACTCATTTAACATCTAATCATAACATTATAACACAAGCTGTCAAATGCAAACATTCACGGATGCAAAACAAAGCAGAAATGTTTTTAACATAACGAAAAAGGTCATAAGAGTCTCACTTATAGTATTAAATATAATAAAAGATATGATTAGACCTTTTCACTTACTTCACATGATCTAACAGAACATAAAGACTGAAAAAATCTAACAAACCTTCGATAGCCTCGCGGGGAGTCTTAAACCCCAACCCAATGCTCTTCCAGTAACGGGTGCCTCCCTTTCCAGGCCTCTTACCCTTAACCGTTTTCTTCGAACTGCAGACGGGAATGAAAATCGGATCTTTTAACCAAAAACCTTGATTTGCCATTTCTCTCAATAAATTACATATACTGGATGAAATCGAATGAGAAAATCGAAAAAAGATGCGTTCAGATAAGCATATCCTCCATACCTGAGAAAAACTCCTGGCTGCTTCAAGAAAGCCTTCTCAGTCTGCAAAACAAACCGAATCAATGAAATCCTTCCGCAATTATAACTAAAATGGGTAGAGAAAATGTGTGAAGTTGATATTATGCGAAAAAGAGACGTACCTGCTCCGCCATTGCTCCTGTAGGGTCGGAAGATTAGACGAAGAAGAAGAAGAAGAAGAAGATGCGGCGAACGCGAAACCCTAGCAACCCTGCTACCGTAAAATATTGAGCCCCTGCTCTTTATTTACTCTATTTTTTTTTTACTTTTTCACTTTTCAATAATTCATGTTCCCTCCTAACAATAAACTTCTCTATTAATATTACGATCTCTCAATAATATAAAATATTTTTGCCACATTTTCTTTTGTAAAATTTTGATTTACTTTTGAACAATATAATTTTTACTTTTTATGGTACTTCCACCTTCTCTGAATATTTGTTGACTTCTGACTGTTTCCGGTCAAAATTGTAAATTTTGAACTTAAATTAAATAAAAATAACATTATATATTGATACAAAAATACTTTTATTAGATTTTTTGTATCAAATATTTTCAAATATTATTTTTTCTAATTAATATAAAATATATATTTTATTTAATTATGAATCAAAGGTTGAAAAAAGTTGACCGAAAAAAGTCAAAATTGGATAAATACTCAAAAACGGAGGTAGGTAGTATTAAATAAAGTAATTTTAAAAAGATAAAATTTTAAAGGTTGTTCAAAATGAAAAGTTTATTGTTGAATGGAATGGAGGGAGTAATTTTTAATATTTATTTTGTACTCCGTACTTAATTTTTGGACTCCGTATACTTTTAAAATTTTGTATAGTCAAAAAATAAACAACTTAGCTAATACAAAGCATTATAAGGGTGAGCAAGGATCGAACCGATCTCGATATTTTACCGAAAAATCGAGAATACCGATCCGAAAAATAACGAAATGATAAAGTACCACAAAATAACCAAACCATACCGAATCGAACGGTCAGTCCGGTATTTGGAGACGGTTCGAGGTTACTTCTCATACCAAAATCCCTGAACCAAACACATATACTACTCCGTAATATATTATAAAAATAATAATCTTCTTATATTTTTTCATGAAATAAAGATTTATATAGACAATTTGGTTTAATTTCATTATATGTAAGTTACACTTTAATAAAAGTTTTTTATTTTTTTGTAGATGAGTATAAGGATATTTACAAACATTTGATATAATACTTTTTATCACTTGTTCTCTTTAGTTTATGAATTACGGAGTAGAAACTAACTTTTTTAAGCGTTTCTTGCATTTTATTTTTCATTTTTAATTTTTTTATCTATCTTTTGTTATATGTAGTTTCATTTTTTCAAAAATGAAATTAAAAGTTTTGTTACATTTTGTGGTCGAAACTAGGTACTAAGGTACGTATATATTCATTCCGATTCGTACCGAGATCAATATCGAACCATATAAAATTGATGTTTGGGAGCGGGAGCGATACAACGTAAAATCTCATGCCGAACCAAGATAGTTGGTACGGTATTGGTATGCGCTAAGTACTGTACCATACCGTACAACAATCACCCATTGAGTATTCATATATTTCTCTGTTCTTCTAATGTGTTCATCTAGTTTTAACTTTTTAAGAAGTTCCATTTACTCCCAACTCTTGTAAAATTGAACGAATTTCCCATAAGTTTCATTTAAAAATTGCACCAAAAGTCTCTAAATATATTAAAACATTGCATCAATGATCTTTTTGCGTCAGATTTGAGAGTACGTTATTCACACACTCATCAAGTGCAAGTGTGAATTCACCTAAACTCATTTACTACACGCAAATTCTGTAATATGCTTTCCCAAACATTTTGTTTATATTTTAAAGGGGAAACTCACTAGATAGAGTAACAAACTATAAAAATATCAAAATAGGAGTCTTAAGCCTTTTAAGACTAAAATAGGAGTTCACACTGTCATAGTTACACTACTACACTCACCATATTGTCATATTGTAATTGTCACACTATCATTGTTACACTGTCATTTGTCACCATCAACCACTATAGTGCCCGCTGCGGTGTGCCGACACAGTTGATAGATGGATCACACTGCAATATAACATTGTCATCATTTTTTTCATCACAGTGCTAACACGTATTCTTACATCACACTGCTATCATATTTCTATATTGATATTAAAAGACATGACTTCTATTTTGGTCTTTTCATGCTCTTTTACTCTTATCTAGGATGATTTGTTTATTTTAAACCTCTCGAAAGTTCAGATGATTATTCTTGCTTTAGCTAACGGTAGCCAAATTCGAAGCTCGGACATCACTCAATCAAGCTATTCATCAATCGATCAACCTTTTCATCATTTCATGACATCTTCATCAAACTCCAATAGGTATATTGATGAGCGTGTGATTAGTGTCCTGTGAAATCTTACATACTGGAATTATTGATACAACATTTTTAAAACTTTAGGCTGCAATTATTAAAAATCAAGAGAAATTTATATAATTTTTGAAAAATTTGAGAGTAAGAGGGACAAAAAACTCATGTTAAGCCAAATTAGATATTTTAATCATCAGTTACTCTAAATTTGTATTGTATATTGATACCAAAAAAATAGAATATACGGAGTATATGAAAATACTTTTTAAGGTAAATTTAATAGATTTATTAAGTTTTAATATTTTCTAGTTTGACAAAAAAAGTAAGATTACATTAACCAAACATAGCCTAAATCTTCAACCTTAATCAACCAGTCTCTGTCTCTCACTCAACTCTGTCTGGCTTTGCCGCCATCTGAAGCCAATGCCTCTTCAAACTAATTTACCAGACACCATTTATGATTCTCCCAAACCCTTACCCACTAACTGATATGAAACATGATCATCCCTCAGATCTTCTTCTTCTTCTTCTTCTCCACCCTTCTGAATCTCTCCTCATCTTTTGCATCACAGATCTCTATCTCCGTCGCCCCACCTACCGTCTCCAGATCGGGCGACCCAATCACGATCCGATGGTCCGGCATTGATTCCCCGTCCAAGCTCGACTGGGTCGGGATCTACTCCCCGCCCGATTCATCCAACAAAAACTTCATTGGGTACTTCTTCCTTTCATCCTTGCCCGGATGGGAGGCCGGATCTGGCTCCATTTCCTTCCCGCTCGTCAACCTCCGATCCGCATACCAGTTCCGGATCTTCAGATGGTCGGAGTCCGAGATCAATCCCAGGCGCCAAGACCACGACCAGAACCCGCTGCCCGGGACGAAGCACCTGCTGGCTCGGTCAGATGAGATCCGGTTCGAGACTGGTCGCGGGCCCGAGCAGATCCGTCTGGCCGTGACGGGCCGGGAGGGCGAGATGCGTGTCATGTTCGTCACGCCCGATGGGAAGGAGAGTTCGATTAGATATGGGTTGACCCGGGGAAATATGGATCGGGTCGTGGGTACTGAGGTGGGGCGGTATGAAAGAGAGGATATGTGTGATGCTCCAGCTAATCAGAGCATTGGGTGGAGAGATCCTGGGTATATACATGATGGGGTAATGACCAATTTGTCAATGGGGAAAAGACATTATTATCAGGTGATCATCATCATCATTATTCAGATTATTCTTATGTAGAGACTAGAGATACTGAGTATATTCATGGCTGCTTGTTTTCCTCTAGAAATTTCTATGTCGATTCCCCTATATGATTAATCCAAACTTCTTACAGCTTTGCTACAAAAACAAGTTTCTATTTGTTAACTGGCAAGTTGAAACATCTTTTCTTCCAAGTTGAGAGTTTTTGTTTTTCTTAGAATCTTTGCAATTCGATCTTAGGAGTTAGGATTGGATTTCCTTGAGTTGTTTTTTTTTCTTCATTTTCATCCATTTACGTCCTTTGGTTTTAAAAAATTTCTTATGTGCTTCCCACTCATACATGCATTCTCTATATGACTGTCTGTTTTGGTGATTGGCATATATGGGAAAGTTCTGATTTGAATTTCATTTTTCTTGGATAGTGTCAGTTTGGGGGTTTGAGTTTCATTTTCTTGGATCATGTTAATTTGGGGTTTTGAGTCCACGTTTCTCGGATCATGTCAATTTAGGATTTTGAGATCCAATTACTAGGGCCATGTCAATTTTGGGTTATGGGATTCATTTTCTTGGTTCATGTATGTTTTTGTCTTTCAAGATGAAGATATTAATGAATGGTATATTAGTTAGACTTCAAGGCCTGGAATTAGTATTTACGGTTTACAGCATAGAGCAATGGCTGCATTTTATCAGTTGATACACAATATTTACCCTTGATACACGACAATATAGGTTGGGAGTGATGCAGGAGGTTGGAGCACAACTCACTCTTTTGTGTCTCCTCCAGATGGGGACTCAAGCGAGACAATAGCTTTCTTATTCGGAGACATGGGGACTGCAACGCCTTACAATACCTTTGTGCGCACCCAGAACGAAAGCATATCGACACTTAAATGGATTGCCCGTGACATAGAAGCTCTCGGGGACAAACCTGCCCTCGTGTCACACATTGGTGACATCAGCTATGCTAGGGGCTATGCTTGGTTGTGGGACAACTTCTTTGCTCAGATAGAACCTGTGGCATCCAGAGTCCCTTACCATGTTTGCATCGGTAACCATGAGTATGATTGGCTACTGCAGCCTTGGAAACCAGAATGGTCTAGCTATGGAAAGGACGGTGGAGGTGAATGTGGGGTGCCCTACAGTCTTAGGTTCCACATGCCCGGAAATTCATCCGAAGCAACCGGGATGCGTGCTCCACCCACCCGGAATCTGTACTACTCGTTTGATTTCGGACTCGTGCACTTCGTTTTCATGTCAACCGAAACCAATTTCCTTCGCGGTAGCAAGCAATACGACTTCTTGAAGAACGACTTAGAATCGGTTGATAGGAAAAAGACCCCATATGTGGTGTTTCAAGGACACAGACCAATGTATACTACCAGCAATGAGTATAGAGATGCCCCTATTAGGCAAAAAATGCTAGAGCACCTAGAGCATCTTCTAGTGAGCAACAATGTGAGTCTTGCACTGTGGGGCCACGTTCACAGGTACGAGAGGTTCTGCCCGCTAAACAACTTTACATGTGGAAGCCTAGGGTTGAATGGGGAGCGATGGCAGGCTTTCCCAGTGCATGTCGTGATTGGGATGGCCGGACAGGATTGGCAGCCCATATGGGAACCGCGGGCAACGCACCCAGATGTTCCGGTATTCCCCCAACCCGTGAGGTCTCTGTATCGCGGGGGCCAGTTTGGGTACACGAAACTCATTGCTACAAAGGAGAAACTCAAGTTTTCTTATATTGGAAACCATGATGGGGAAGTGCACGATACTGTAGAGATATTGGCTTCAGGTCAAGTTCTCAATGGTGATGGTGCCAGCAGCAGCAGCATTAACACTGTGGTTGATAGGAGACAGAAGAACGACGAGCCTAATGTAATGAGAGGATGGGATGAGTCCGAATTGACATGGCTTCTCAAAAATGTTGGGTTGTTACTGTTAGGAGTTGTCATTGGTTGTGTAATAGGGTACTTATCGCGTGCAAGGGGCTCGCCTCCCAAATGGGTTCCTATAAAGAATGAGGATTCATGAGTGCTCTTGATTCAATCTGGAGGATTTATCGGCGTTCTTGATTCAATCCCATGTTACTGTCAGGCCGGTTCTGGCGACCCTTGGAATGGGTTCATTCTTTTGTGTTTGAAGATTAACTAGCTTTTGGCCTTCCTTGAGCTTTGATGGTAATCTTTTGCTTTGTATATGTTTACACTTTGTTAGGTGTTTATTAATTTATACTATTGTTACTATATGGAGGTGTACATATATGGGACTGTAAATGTGTTGTACTACTAAGTAGCAAAGGGCTTCTGTTTTGGCTTCATGTGCAGTGTCATGTTATATACAATTGTGGGCTTCCACAACCATTATGGTCACTACTTGCACGAAATAATTCATATTAATAAATTCCACCCTTTTTAATTGCAATACTTGACATTGATAACCATTTTATATTGAACTTTTCTACTGACTAGTGAGCATGCTATTAGCAACAATAATCTTCACATGGCAGCTTATGTGTATTGTGGAAAATTATTTCCATGCATTCTCCGGCTCGTTCACGTGCAGGGTGGCGATAGAAGCTAACCGATTGCACGCATGTTTAGTAACCCGTCGTCTTTGCCAGAGTCGACAAAAGTTCATACTCTGAGTGAAACAGTGGAAATAGCCATTCGAAGTGAACTGGTAATTTGAAAAGATAAGCTCGGTGCTATAGAAAGAGAGATGGAAAAGTGAGGATATGTGTACATTGAATTTCACATATTTAGCTAAAAAAAATTGCTTCATGTGGGTCGCAATATCTATACTACTCGTAGTAATGTTAGTGTTACACCAAATTGTACCTTAAGTTGTACATTGCCCCTCTCCCATCGCACGTTTCTTGTTCAGGATCCAATTCTCTAATCTTGGATAAAAATGTGTAGTTGGGTGAAACGTGGTGTTCAATTTGAACCAGCATTTTTGTATTCATATATTTGGATATTAGTTGATAGAGTTTTTGCTAGGAAAAATGGTACGCTACTATCAAATATTTGGACAATACTCTCTACAACAACAACAACATGCCTCAAATCTCATACTCATTGCAGCGTCGGAGGGTCGAATGTACGCAACCTAACCTTAATGTTTAAAACATAGATCGACTGTTTTCAGATGACCCATTATAATCGCCGAAAGTTGCATTCACCAACTACTACTTCGTCATATATGCAAGAAGTACAGAAAGTTTAAAGAGTTATTTTGCTTTATACAATCTTACTCCAAAGCCAAAAATAGCGGATCTCTGGCTCCATCGGATATTATGGAACGTTATCATATTTTCTTTTTTGTTTGTTCTAAACACTACAAGAATCTGCTAGATTTGCGACAAAAATCTACCACGAACCATAGTGAATTGCAGATCTTCCACGTCTTGATGACAGATATAATATTATTGAAAATGTAGTAAATCTATACAACGAACTACATTATTGCGTTGTTGTTCTACAACAAATACTGTCTATCCATCGCAGAGATTATGCGCTAACACAAGCGCCCTTTACAACACTCAAATCACTTACAGGAATCCAGTATTGTCGCTTATCCGCAACGAATATCTCCCACATTCACAAACAGCGTATTTAGATCTTTCTTCTTTTCCGCGTGTCCAAATATAGAAATCCAGATGACAATTAAACTTAAAACTATGTCTAGATCTTTCTCCTTTGTCGCGTCCACAAACACATGCCCACAAACATTCTTAGACCAAATACACTCTCTATGTCTCTCCTACATTTATAATACGTATTATATTTTATTTTTTATTATTAATATTATTATTTTCAATTTATTTTTTAATGACTAGATATAGAGAGAATTGATGGAAGAACAAGAAGAAGAGTGGAGGGAAAGAGAAACCCTTCGATTTGGATGGATTGATTTGGAAGGGAGGGGAAGGATTTAAAGCTAAAATTATGGACTCCCTCACCTTCAATTTCTAAACCAAACAAGGAGAGTGGATTAGTTTCCCTTCCCTTCCTTCTCACCAAATAGACCCTAAAAGTTAGACTATCATGTATATGCATTAGTTATAATTGTATTAACTTCCTAAAACTTTCTTTGTCCAAAAAAACTCATCATTTCCTTTTTAGGACATCCCAAAAAATTTTTCTTACAAATTTTGACAAATCTTGTATGGCCTAACATCTTTCTCTCTCTTCTGTATCACTTTGAATCATACAATTTCACTTTCTTAAGCGTTGCACCAAACCCAATTCGAAGGGTTTTTTGGGACGGAAGTAGTATTTTTTAAAGCCCTCTCTTATATTTTTAAAAATACATTTTAGTTTTCAATTTGAGATTGATTCCTTTGCCACTGGAAAACGGTGTCACAATGGTCCCACTGACTTTTCGGAGTAACTCCGGTTCTTTGTTCAAAATATTGATGATTTTTATTCCTCTAAATCCTTGGTAAGCTTTCAACCCGACCCAAACAAACCCTCACCCGACCCCGTCAATTCGACTCTCAAAATTTAGTTGACTTTTGGATCAATTTTTTTGGTGACATATATATACTATTGAAACCATAGTTTTCATAACCGAACCGGCCATCAATTCGGTCAAAGTATCAGTGGTTCGACTGGTTGAACCAGTGGTATAAACATATTTGAATGTATGTGTGTGTGATTAAACAAAATAGTACTTTAAAAATTATATATTTAAAATATTTAATAAAATAAGAGATGATTTATTTTTTTCAAACAATTTACCCAATAATTAAAATATGTATATAAATAAAATATTTGTATGATATGCACTCCATATTAATATCAATGGTTAGAAGACTAAAACATTATATTTTTCAATGTTATTTGAAAAATAATCAAATATCTAATGAAAATAGGTAAATAAAGTGATTAAAGTTTGACCATGTGAAACGTAAGCATGAAGAACATTCTAGAACGGAGAAAGTAAAATTTAACAAATATTCATACCTTTCATCACATTTACAATAACACTATCACTCTACATCATATCTACTCTTACTCCCTCCGTTCCAAATTATTTGCAACGTTTACTTTTTCAGCACTCGCGAGAACTTTTGTTTATTTCTATGTTTTCATTGGTTATTTGATAAAATAAAATATTCTTGACACCTCTTATTTCGAAGAACTTTTCATGTAGTTTTTTAATATGTAAATTTTATTTTTTATTTCTATACCAATATGTAAATAAAATTAATTGAAAAAAGTTGATATTTTGTCTGGGGAATACAAATGTGACAAATATTTAAATGGATAGAGTATATTTTTCCACCCGTCAAGCCCGACATAAGACATGACCAATGACCTTATAATTTTCGATTATAAACGGTAAATGAAGATATATGAGAGATGAGTTTAATGAGTTCTGCGTAAATGAAGGTATGTCAGAGATGGCGTAAGACACATAAATGGTTCAATAACTGTTTGAATTGGTAGATCAAACGTAGATGCCCTTCGCAGACAATTTGGTGGCTCTCAATAATTAAGAATTTTGTCAGTGGGGAGTATTATGTCCTCGAATAAAAAATACGGAGTAACAATTTTTTTTTTTTTGAGGAAAATAAAAATCATATTGGAAATATACACAATCATCCATCAATAATTATCCCACAGCTCCATCCCGTTAAATAGTCTTAATTTATATGGAGTATTTTTGAAATTATTTTTTATTACATATATATAAACGAAAATTAAAATAAAACAGACCTTTACGTAAAATTAGAATAAAACAGAGTTTTACCAAAATTTAGTAATTTAGCTAGATGGAGCAATAAAATAATTAAATGTACTTTATACGAGATTTGTATACTTGAATACTCATTTTGAAGAAGTGGTGTGATAAATAATTCCTCTAACTTTCTTTGAGATTGCTTTCCGTTTATCTGATCTAATATAATCTGATTAAATTTGATCAATTTGATCTAGTTTGGTCTAATCTAAGTTTAATAAGAATATGTAATAATTTAAGAAAATAACTTAGACGGAACAAACCTAAGTTGGTCTTTTGATTCACTCCATTAAGGAGGCTTGTTTGAATGCTCAACTTGAATCCCTAAATTTTTTTGAGAGAAAGATGCAAATTTCATTGTTTATTCTTGCATTTTTAAAAATAAATTTAATTAAAATAATTTCAATAGTTAATTATAAATTGAAATATGAAATATATGCTAGATACCTCCATTCCATATCAAGCATCCCTTACATCTTTTTAGATTCATTGAAAAATGAACAAATGTAAACATAAAACTATTATAACTGCGTTCATTTTTCATTAAACCTAAAAGTTCATAATGAACTGTTAATATCAAATATATGAAGTATTTCGTACTTCCTTCATCCCGAAAACCTTTTCAAATACGAAAAAACTAAGACATGCCGTAAAATTGAACAATTTTATGTTATATTCTAATTTTGTTGTCATACACATCATATCCTAATTTAGTACTACCTCCGTCCTGGTATACTTGTCCAATTTGAATTTTTTCGAGTCAAATTGGGTAAACTTTGATCTACAATTACTTTCAATTTGTATTGAATATGAGTATAATGAAATAAAATTTTAAAATTTTTTAATACGATAAATCTAATAAAGTCTTTTTTATGTTAAAATACATTACAGTTTTTATTTAAATAAAGTTCAAAGTATGTCCAGTCTGAATCGAAAAAATCAAACTGGACAAATACACTTGGACGGAGAGAGTATATCGTAAGGATAAAATTTATAAGTAATACCGAGCCTATACATTTTTAATTTCATTTCAAAAAAAATTTATGAGACACACATATACTACCTCCGTCCCAAAAACTCAAGTTTCGTTTTGTTTTTTCTTGTCCCACAAAAATCTTCGTTTTTCTATTAAAAAATCATTTTTACACTTATTAATTTTAAATCTACCTATCTCATTATACCTGTTTACTACTCTCTCTATCCCTAAATATTTGTCACAGTTGTATTCCCGAGGTAAAAATATCAAATTTTTTCAATTCATTTTATTTACATATTTGTGTAGAAATAAAAAATAAAATTTACATATCAAAAAACTATATGAAAAGTTCTTCGAAATAAGAAGTGTCAAAAATATTTTATTTTATCAAATAACCAATGAAAATGTAGAAATAAACAAAAGTTCTCGCGATTGCTGAAAAAACAAATGTTGCAAATATTTAGGGACTGAGGGAGTAATAATTTTTCCATCACATTCTACTTTTACCAATCATATCAAAGGTATTTTTGGAAAGTCAACATAAATTAATTCTTCCTTAAATTTTTCTAAAAATTAAAACATGAACATTTTTATGGAACGAAAGTAGTACTCCGTATAATTTTAGGACAAAGTAGCATTAAAGAAACAAAAAAAAACTCAATATTAATACGCGTGGAAGGCAATCTAGAAATGCGAGTGCTAAAATATCAGCGTCGCTAATTTAGAAGTTGACGGTGACTTTCTTTTGCTTTTACCTTTTCTTTTTATTCAATTTTTTTTTCATCACTTTCACATCAGTCTTCTCAAACTCTGTCTTGACGCGAAGCAAATTAATTAAAGCAACCTTTCCAAAAGCATCCAAAAAATAAAAAAAATAAAAATTCACCCTCAAATACGCGGCCTTTTCTCCCTCTCTCTATCTCTATCTCTATCTCCCTCCTTGTTCATAAACCCTAGCTTCCTCATAATTTCCTTCCCCGACATGGACGAACAAAAGGACGAAATCGTCGACGAGTTCACAACCGACGATTCGAGCTGGGCAGCGATCGGAGGAGGCTGCGATTCCGACGGCGCTTACTTCTTCGACGGCGTCGGGAAGGACGACGACAGCAACGTACTCGGCGACTTCGGCTGGAGTTTCCAGGCGGATCACGGCAGGATCGGATCTGATTTTGCGGGAAACTGCTGCAGCGACAGGTTCCCCGTCCAGGAGGGTCCGGCAGCGGCGAGCGGGGGCGGATCGGAACCGGCAGCGGTTCGTGCGGCGGAGCAGACGTCGTCGAGCTCCGATGACGACGCGCCGGAGAAGTCCACCGCATCCGGTGGATCGAGATCGCGGCCGCCTGCAGACACAGCGTGAGTGTGCGATCTCAAATCAATTCTCTGCCTTCTAAACATTTAAAAAAAATAAAATTAGAAGCGATCGGAGGCCGATTATTTAATTCATTCCGCTTCCGTACAGTCTCTCCGATCGCCAATGTCAAGCCTCGTTCACGTAAGTTGGGGAAAGAGGGGAAGGGGACTGGTATCGCCATTTGGCGAAAAGGCGTGGGCTTTTTCGGCATTTCGGATTTTGCGTGGTTTACGCGCAGCCGTTATTGCGGCGGGAATGGCGTGCTGCATATGGGGTACTGTACCTTTTTGGGTGCAGATTTTTGGGGTAAAAAAGTGGGTGAAACCTTTTTTACATAAATTANAAATCAATTCTCTGCCTTCTAAACATTTAAAAAAAATAAAATTAGAAGCGATCGGAGGCCGATTATTTAATTCATTCCGCTTCCGTACAGTCTCTCCGATCGCCAATGTCAAGCCTCGTTCACGTAAGTTGGGGAAAGAGGGGAAGGGGACTGGTATCGCCATTTGGCGAAAAGGCGTGGGCTTTTTCGGCATTTCGGATTTTGCGTGGTTTACGCGCAGCCGTTATTGCGGCGGGAATGGCGTGCTGCATATGGGGTACTGTACCTTTTTGGGTGCAGATTTTTGGGGTAAAAAAGTGGGTGAAACCTTTTTTACATAAATTAAATTTTGACTCCTCCCAAATTTTGTCTCTACGCTTTCACATACCGAGTACAATCTACTCCAATAACATCCCCCTGCAAATATTTACTCTTTCTTTTTCGGTTCAAAAAGTGATCACTATTTACTTAGGATCTGATTTATTGATAACATTAGAGATTATTGTTATTATTTTGAAAAAAATTTACTAGTGTAGATTACTTTGAAAATATCAACGTTAAAAGCTGCTTGGATTAGCAAATACTGGTCTAAAAAATATTTTACTTTTCATTTTAGAAAATAGTATTGTGTCTCGTACACCCTTCATCCCAAAAACTCTTTTCCTTTTTTTTACATATGCTACAAAATTCTTCTCATATCTATTAAAAAACTATTTTTACTCATATTAATTTTTAATCTATCTATCATATCATACATTTTTACTAATAATCTATATATTACATCGTATTTTACCCATCACATCAAAGATATTCTTTAAAAATCAACACAAAAATATCACTTTTTTAAATTTTATAAAAATCAAAATCGAAACTTTTTTTTGGGACTGGAGGAAGTATTTTTTTGCAACACTTTCAATAGTATTTAGCTGTAACATACGTTAATTAAAATAGTACTCCGTATTCACAAAGAAGGTCTTACACTTACAAATGCAACACATAGCAATGCCATTTGAGAATGAAAAGGAGGGTCGGACAACCTTTGAGTCAAAGTAGAACGTAACTGCCACTCTTTTATTCCGTATAATTTTGATTTGCTCTTTCATTAATGTTCATTGGTTTTTAAAGGACGTAAGAACTTGGGAAGTATATTCTCTGTGATTTAAATAAAGTCCCAAGTGGGGTTTTCGGTAGTGAATTGTCCTTAGATTCTTTTATTTTAATGGTGATCTATCATCTATCTATGGCATACCTCGGAGCTGAGTGTGGTGTCCGTAAACCTTATGCACTTTCATTCTGTATTTGGCTATTCGTCGATACACAAATATTCTCTCTTTCATTTTTTTCTTCTGAAAACAAATTTGAGGCTTTACTCATTCCCTTAAAACAATTTTTTTCTGTGGGGCGGAAGGAGCATTGCTATTAGATACTTCCTCCGTCCTAGATGGATTGTCCACTTTTGATTTTTTGAAGACAACCAGTATCAACCTTTGATGGTTAAAGAAAATTAATTAAATTATAGAGTATATTAATTTATAAAATAAAATTTACAAAATATTTTAAAAGATGAATCTGATAAAATTAATTTTATTTAATTCATGGTTAAAATTTATTAATTTTGGCTGGAAAAAATCAAAACTAGAAAGGAGAGTTTTTTTTTTCTCTTTGCACAATCCATATTAAGAAAAGTCCAATACTCCCTCTGTTCTCTAAAACACTTTATCTTTCATTTTTTTCCACTTCCAACAAAATACTTTCACTTTCTATGAAAAACCACTTTTACTCTTACCTTTTCATACCCTATCTATTACTCTTCTGTCCCAAAAAGAAGTTCCCATTTTGAATAGTATTTAGTCAAATATTTACATGCTTTGACTACAAATTGTGAGAAAGGTATATTGAATTATAAGATAAATTTAATATAATTGGGTTCATCTTAGGATCTAGTTTTGATATCTCAATTTTTTATAGCATTTCTTTATTTAGATTATATTTAATTTATGGTCAAAGCGTGTAACTGTTTGACCAAAAATACATCAAAATGAGAATTTTTTTGTGGGACGGAGGGAGTATGTCATACTTTTTTTCTAATAATCTATCCATCATATCTTACTTTTACCCGTCAGATCAAGGACAAAATTGAAAGTCAACTACAATTTCACACTTCCTTATTTTTATACTTGGTCAAATCAAGAACTATTTTTAAAACGGAGGGAGTATATGCAAGGACATCGTGGGGGGTGTTAGATTTATAGCTAGCTTTGTATAGTTGAGAGATTGAAACTACGTAGTCTATATATGTGTTGTATGTATGTAGGTGCATGTTGCTTGTGTTGAAAGCTTATGCATATTATACTTGGCTAGCTAGAAAGCCATGGCATGGCATGGCAAATGAAGGTTGTTGAAACTAGCTAGTACGTTTCTATCCACTTTCTCTATATATCTACATACTCCTATATATAGGTGGGGTGGTAATTAATGCTGGCAATAAATGCTTCATTTTCGGAAATTTCCCTATGAGGCATCATTTTGTGGGTTGCTTAGCCTTTGTGTTGCAGAGAATATTAATGGGATCTCTCTTTGTATATATAGGGTTTTGGGTTTTTTTTCCAACTTTAACCCATGCATGCATATACTCACTCTCTCAATTTTTGTATTTTCTGTCAATTTGTCAAGGGAACAACTTCAATTAAAAGTTCAAATTTGTGGTTATGGTTCAAAAAAGATTTTTATATTCTAACACACTCTTTCATGTGCAAGCATAGTCTTTTCACGTCTTAAACGTGAAACTTTAAGTTTTTTAAAAATGGATAGCACTGATGAGTTTTGAACACGTAGCCTCTTAAACATTGTGGTTGTGGCCCAGGAAACATTTTAATATTCTAACATCTTATTCACAAAGTTTATTCACGAACTTCCAATTTTTTTACTAGTCAAATTCAAAATGTTGGTTCAATAGACAAAAGTAACACATGTAGCTTTGGACCCTTGTTCATTAATTTGTCTAGTCTAGTTTAATAAACTCTGAGAAACAACTTTAATTACTTTCGAATAGAGGTAAGATGTGTATACACAGACTCTACTATTGTCGGCAGGCGTAGTCTTTCAAGTCTTACATGTAAAACTTTAAATTTTTTAAAATGGATAGCGCTAAGTTTCAATTGATATGCTCGGCTAATTGCAAAATGTTTGTTCAATAGACAAAAGTAGGATATGTAGTTTTGGACCCTAGTTCATTAATTTGTCTAGTCCAATATAATAACTTGTAAAACAACTTCTTTACTTTCTAACTTTGTTATTGTTTTTGTTGTTTTAGTCTAGTATAATTAACCCAAATGTGAACAATAATAATCACATTTTAAAATATACAATGAGACTTAAGAACGAGTAGTTAACTTCTCCACGGAAGCAATGGTGATAATTAAGGCCGGGGACCTATCTTTCTTTCCATTAATAAGTGTAATTTTCAAAAAGTGGTTGTGAATGCTTTCAAAGCTTTTAACCTCCTTGAAATGGATTTCTCTGCAAATTAAGATGTAAATAATTATGTTATTACCTGACATGATGTTAATTAATTTGAGCTTAAAAAAATACATAGCCATATAATTAATGAAACTAAATAATGTAAATGTGTTGTTTATTCCAGATGCAAAGGCAAGAAGAAGGGGCAGGCGCGGATGAGACAACCTCGCTTTGCCTTCATGACTAAAAGCGAAGTCGATCATCTCGAAGATGGCTATAGGTGGCGGAAATATGGTCAAAAAGCTGTTAAAAACAGCCCCTTTCCGAGGTTTGCTTTCATTTTTTTTACCCAACTATTTGTCCCATTTTGACTTTTTTAACTTTTATTATTATTTGGACGCAGAAGTTACTACCGTTGCACGAATACAAAATGCACCGTGAAGAAAAGAGTGGAGCGGTCATCCGAAGATCCGACGGTTGTGATCACAACATACGAAGGGCAACACTGCCACCACGCCGTGGGGTACCCCAGATGCGGCGGCGCCGGAGGATTTATGGGCGACCCGGCGGCGGGATTTCTGGGCCACACGTACACATTGAACTCGCAGTTCTACCTCCCAACTGGGCTCCACCAACAATTCCCTCAAGATGGGCCGTCGTCTCTGGGCATGTTGTCGCATCAGAACCGGCCCGACAGCAATAGTAGTGATAATGGGGAGCCCAATCCAGATTCGTTCTTATTGGGCCATGACCCACAACTGCTTCCACCACCACCCGATGAAGGCCTGCTTGGGGATATGGTGCCGCCTGGAATGCGAAACAAGTGAAAACTTTTACTTTTACTCGGTAAAACTCCCTATGAAGGTACAGTCATACCCATGCATTGTATGATAAGATTTTCTTTTGAAGAATTATAGTAAAAAAAATTCCTTAGATTAAAATGCCTAAATCTAGATTTAAATATAAAAAATATCCAAATAGGAGTATTTATTATTTAACATAACGTATGATTATTTGAGTTAATGTGAAGTATAAAAAATACTCTAGAGTTAATGAAAATTACAAAAAATGCTTTACAAAAAAAACACTACCTTAGCAGATATAAAATCTTTCATCATAGCATTTCACTTTTAAAAATCTATTTTGTAGTTTCAACAATTAAAGTTTGATAATATTTGTTTATGCATGTACGAATATATGCTTTAACATTCCAAATGTTCAGACAGAAGAATATGAAAAAATATAATGTAAAGCTTACCTTGGGCGAGGCATGCAGTTTCTTTTAATACTGGTGCTAACGGAGCTTCCGAAGAAGAAGAAGAAGATGCTAGCTAGCTAGCTTGCTATATGGCAATGAGATTATACTAATTAATCTCTCTCTGTATAAACTAATATATAAGCTAAGTATGTAGCAGATATGATGGAGAAGAGCTGATTAAGCTATTTCATTAATTGGGTGAATCCTAGCATAGCTTGCTATGAGATTATACATACTTATCTCTATTTGTATAAAGAAAGCATATGTATCTATATCTAATATCTAACTAACATTAAGTTGAGGATATGAGTAAAAAGCATATGTATATATATAGAGTTCAAAAAGTAATGGTTCAAACTACAAGGATGAGGCAATGGATAAAGGAATAAAGGAAAATCTCTATGAATAAAGGGAATGGATATAGAATAACAAATTAACAACCAATAGTTCTTCTTTTACATAGAAAATCCTGAATGTGAAAAGGACTAAAATCATCCTTATTATCTTCTTGGGTAAGTTTTACAATCATACCCTTGCTGTAGTAATAATTAATAAAGAATCAAGCATGCAGGAAATTCTTGAACCAGTTGACAGAGTCCTTAGGAATTCTTGTCAGGTTGTGTTTATAGTCAACATAATAAAGACCAAATCTTGAAGAAAACCCAGCACTCCATTCCCAGTTATCCAATAAGGACCAGGCAAAATACCCTTTCACATTGCACCCATCTCTGCATCATCCATTTCCAACCCAATTATCAACAAAAAAAACCCATTACTCTTTTGATCTGTACAAAGCAGATATAAATGTACTGAAATTACTCACTTGATTGCATCCAACAAGTTGGTCAGATAGTCATTGTGGTACTTGATTCTCTTATCGTCTTTTAACCCGTCCCCTTTTGCATCATCCATCCCTACATTCATTCTTGGATCTTTTTAACAAGCAGTACTTGAAAGATTTACAAGGTTTGTTTTTGGTAAAGATATAGAGAGAATTACTACCGTTTTCAGTGATCATCACTAGCGGGTTCCCATAGTAATCCTTAATGTAGTTCATTAAGCTTCTCATTCCATGAGGGACTATGTACAACCATATCGAACTCGCCTGCAAATAACCATTATACCCTTTGAGATTAACGTTGTCGTCGTTAGTTATTGTTAATGTAATTCAATTGGCCATGAGCCCATGTTATTATTACCTTATCTGCTATTGGTGTCAGGCCTTTGAATGCTGTGGAAAAGAGATCAAAAACAACACAACGTCGTCCACATGGAACAAATATAAAAATTTTAAAAAAATGTTTTTTGAGAGAAACGATGTAGCGCACATACGGAGAGTAAGAGAGCCAGCGTCAGCAATGAAGTCGTGGAGGAGCATTTCGAGAATGTTGGTTTTGTTTTTGCTCGCGTACCATGTTGTGTAGTGATTTACACCGATGAAGTCATAAGAGCCCTTCACAAGGGCAGATTGAGCTGCAGAAAACTGAGGCAGCCGATCCCCTACCCTGCTCTTCATCGAGCTAGGGTAGTCCCCCTTGATTAGAGGCTCAAGAAACCTGAATCCAATCAAACCGTTATGTTTTTACAGTGTCAAGGAAAAAAACATTCATAAATGTTAGAGAAACCTTAAAATGCAACATGTGTGAGGACTAATTACCAGCCTAATTTAAAGTCAAGTGTTACTTGTCGGGCTTCAATGTCTTGAGCAGAGTTCGTTAGGGGTTCGTACCAGAAACTGTCCAATGAAATCGCAATCTTTCCTTGTTGATTTGGCTGCAACAAAAGAGAGCATGATATCACAATCTTAGACTAGGAAAAGTTTCTATAACATGGTGCGATCAAAACCTTGTTGACCCAGACGTCCTGAGTTTGAACACCTTATAGAGTATAAAACCTTTCGCGGGCATATAACTACAAGTTTGAGATTTTGATTGATTTGGATCTTGAACCTGATATTTCCTTTTGTAGATATCGGTTGCAGTGGCATGGGCAAGGATCAAGTTGTGAGCCACAATGTAAGGCTCGGTTGAAGAGTTCCCCGCCTTGCAGATGAAACGAGGGAATATGGAGCATCGCCCAGGTGCCTGAAGGCCGACATCATACCCCTGGACGGAAATGGTGTGTGGCTCATTGATGGTTATCCAATGATCCACCCGGTCACCGAATTTCTGGAAACAAGTCTCTGCATATGCTGCAAAATCATTTCTACAAGTTTTTTGTAGAGAGTGAGTTATACTTGGAATTGAATGCAAATATATAGTTTTGTTGGGAAACTTTAATACTTACATGATTTGTGGGCTGAGCCAACCATTGTATCTGTCTTCTAGTGCTTGAGGAAGGTCCCAATGGTAAAGAGTCACATATGGTTTAATTCCTGCATACCCAAGATTTTGAAATTCAAAAAATAAAAAAAAAGTGCAGACTTTTATTTGCACAAAAAGTTGCAGACAATTTTAATGAAGAAAAATGTTTTAGTTCATACAAAAAAAATAAAAAAAAATAAAAATCACCCTTTGCAAGTAAAGCATTGATGAGCTTGTTGTAGTGATCAACCCCAGCCTGATTGATTTCTCCATTTCCATCTAAACATGGTAAGCCACACACCCCCAAAGAAAAAAAAGATTTCAAATGAACATTCTGTAAGTTTCTGTATTTGGGTTATACATTGAACATAGGGTTTTACATACTGGGGAAAATTCTTGGCCAAGAAATAGAAAATCTATAGGCATCCATTCCCATGTCACTCATAAGTTTGACATCCTCCTGTTTGTGATGAGTTAAAAGTGAAACAAATTAGAGAGCTTGCAAGGAAATGATAATGTCATTGATTAATTCTAATTAAGCAGGAAAGCTAGAATGTGAAAAGTATTCAAAAAAAATAAAAAATAAAATTCATTAGGCAAAGAAAATACTTACTTCGTAGCGATGATACTGATCTAAAGCAACATCAGCATTACTGAAATCAACTATTTTTCCTGCAATATTAGGCATTGCAGTGATGTATATAGTTTACAAAATACATATTTTACATCTATATCTTATGATCTCGAGTTAAACTAGCTTAGCAATTGAATCTAATCTTCTTCTCCGTATACCGGTTTTGCCTATAAATCTTAGTCTAGTTGTGACTCCTACTCAAGCCCGGATTCTGTCATAGTAACAGAGCAAGTTCTTGTACATTTCAGGGAGCCGATTAGTTCAATATATCAGTATGATTTCAACGAGGTGTCTTATAGCCTAGTCGAGCGATTCTTATCAAATCTTGAATCCTATCCCAACATTTAAAAGAAAAACAAAATCAAGATTAAGGCTCCAACATATATGATGAAGCTGAAGAGGATGGGTTAGAAAGAAAATTTGAAATTCAGAAGATACCAAATGTATGAGCAAAGGTGTCCCATATAGATGGCCCCCTTCCATCTTCCTTCACAGCACCTTCATACTGCACACAAATGCATGTGTTAAAGACCATCATGTGACAGCCCAGTCCCAAACTAGACTGACTATTAGTTCATGTATCCAACTTTGCAACATTCTCATGGTGCACACTTACCTTTAATGATTTATTTATACTCCATCCGTCCCAAAATGTTTTACATTTTACGTAACACGAAACGAATTTTTAAGTTTTATTAATTCATTTTATGTAAAACTAATATAGAAATTAAAATGCGTCAAAAGTTCTACAAAACAAGAAGTAGCAAGAATATTATATAAAATCAAAAAAGTACTTAAAAAGTCACAATAGACACTAATTTAGAAATGATGGATGAAATACATAATTATCTGACCCATCTTGAGAAGGATAGGGGACCGAATTTCTTTTCTTTTTTATGTGTGAAGGACACAAGGCAATATAGTAGGAGTATATAGATGCAATTTAATGTGAACTTGGTGGGTCGTTTTGAGTAGGCATGTCCGTACATCACATTGAGTGAATTTCTTAATTGGAACATTTATTGATAAAGGACCATGTTAGCTGTACACTATTTTTATACCCTAAAGCTTTGCAGTGACACTTAGATGGGTAACACTTGTATAAAATGTCGATTTTTTTTATCATTTTATGTCAGTTCAAAACTTTAGGGGACAAAATAATGTAAAGAAAGTGGTGAATACCCTTGCTACCAACAATGCCCCTACATAAACATGTGGTAGGGAGGCAAGAAAATTAAAATTAGAGGGTGGATGGAGAATGGGTAGAGATAAATATGTGGTGGAGAAGTGGGTGGAGGCAAGGTTGGTAGCAAGGGTGGGGGGTGTAGCACGGTCCAATGACTAAACACCACTACTATAAAAATCCATCTATATTAAAGTAGCTATGGCCGGTCATTAATTATTCAATACTCTCCATGCCCCAAAAAGAGAGAGTGTTTCAGTTTATAATGATTGATTAATACTCCGTGTTATTTATATTTAATTTGCTTTAAATAAAATCTATTTTATTTTGTGAAATGCTCTAATGTTCATAAGCTGAATTGTTTGTCCATTTTCTTAAGTGAACTATTTTTAATTTATTATGTAGTTTGTGTATCTACTTGTTGAAAAGATATTTATATAAACATATTTCACTCCCTTTTAAGGAATTCAATATCGGTGTCTCGCAAACTTTCTTCTCTCACCAAAAAAATTCCAATAACGGTCTTCTTTTAACCTGACACTTTCTTCTAAAGTCAAGTGTGAAATTTAATTTGAAACGGAGGGTTTGTAGAGATTTAAAAAATTACAGAGTATATCAACGTAAATAAAAATGTCAGAGATCCAAGTTGAAAATAGGGTGAAAATCCAATGAAAAAGAAAATTCTAAAGTAGAAAGGAAGGCAAAGAGGCCCTGTCCTGCGCTGTATGTAAACGCAGTTTGACTTGTGGCCGGCCGGCTCCAACTTTGCATTCACACATTAAATTTTTGTTTCCTTTTTCTCGTTGAATTTCACGATCTATTGTTGTTGTTTTCTTTGGTACACGATCTATTGTTGTTGTTTTCTTTGGTACACGATCTTC